ACTTTGCTGTATGGTGGGCGGATGGGGAGATCACGTATTGACATTGTGCAATGCGTCAGGTTTGTTCATTATCATGGATCATGATCTTGACAAACAGCAAATCATCAGGAAACACACACGAGCACACTGCGTATTTATAACTTGCATGCTAGGAACTTGAAAATCTGTGCGCTCACGACTCAAACAACCACCACTCTTGCCATAGACTGAGATTGCGTCAAGCTACTGGCCGAGTACCGACTTGTTTCTTTTGTCTGCAGCTCCATTACACGAGCCTAGATCTGCGACTGTTCGCGGTCTTTTCCAACCTTGACTCAGTGACAAGTGTTCACAGTTATATACCTGTGAAGTCAAAGGTGTCTTGACAAGCTGCAATCGATCACTCCATGCACAGATACCAAAAAAAGCACAATCCTGCAGAGTGATAGCAAGGCTCTGGCTGGCAGCAGCATTCTCCCTTGACCGTTGAGCAAGAAGCGGCACCTGGCATACAAGAAATTGCAGTTTGCACTTCAAGTGTGCACGGGCTGCAGCTTCAGTTGCCAAGCCAATCTCAACTTCACAGCAAAAATTAGGCCAGCAGAACCCTTGCTGTTGCAAACTCAACTCCAAGATCCTCAACAGCAAGAAGCAAAAATCATCCCAGCTTGTTTCTTGCTCGAGAGTCCAAAACATCGCATATCTGGTCTGGGCCGCCATGCCATCAAGTCTGCCACAGTGCGTGGCCTTCTGGGTTCAAATTCCAGAGTCCTCACAGGTTCTTCATCAGGCCTGAGAGACAAAACAAGGACAAATGTCAGTGCAAGCAGCGCACCCAGAAGAAATAGAGTGCGGTAAAAGCGGCAAACCATGCTGTGCTGCATCTGAGAGAAGCGGAATTTCAGGACCACCTAGGCTCACCGGGCCATCCTGAGCACAAGCTTCTTGAGGTTCTTGAGGTTCTGAGGTTCATGACTTGGCGCAGATGTTACTTCGGCTTCCTGAAGCTGGGCAGTATCCTTGCCAGCCTGAAAAGGCCGCTGATGCAACGAGGTGCAATGAAGGAGGTGTAAGGGGGGAGTTCAGCAAGTTTGGGCCTGGTCTGGCGTTTTGGGAACCGAGCCTGCTGCGCTTCAAACAACTTGCTCCACCTGAGAGCGTCTGCTTTGTCGAAAGCTCAAACTTGCTCCAAGTATTTCTTTATAAACGCTCAGAATACAGCTCCATGAGGCTCATGTTCTCTTCGTCCACCGTTCTCCTGAACTAAGCTCTTTCACCCCGCAGTATTGACATTTCCATGGACTTTGTACTAGTTACTACGTAGTACACTGTACACGACATACAATTTGCAGAACAACAATTGCCTGCCTCTGTGCATCTGGGTCTTGACTGCCTGCCTGCCCAATGCTTGAACGAAACTGCATATATCATATATCTGTATATAACTAAGTTATATCAACTTGAGAAACACTTTGTTACAAGACCTGCTTTAGCCATGCGCCCAAGTGTCAGAGATTCCAAACCCAACCAAAAAGAATATTGAGAAGGTTGACACCGCTGCGGGCTACATCGAAGAAGCCGGCAAAGCGAACAATGTGCTAAGCAAACTTGCTGAAACTGCAACTCCATGAATTCTAGGCCTGTGTCAACTGCCCGAAAGCCACCTGCACCCATATTGGCACCTTGTGCGTCTTGCTTTTGCCTTTGCCCCGGCCATGCCATCGCCCAAGACCTTTCTCACCTTTCTTGTCGCTTGTCTTGCCTCCTTTCCTCTCGCCTTTCTTGTCACTTTTCTCCTTGAGCGTTTGGAGTGTGGACTTCCAAAGAATCAATGAGCACTAAAAAAGCTGTCCTGATCCTTTTGGTTTTCCAGCGGTCCATCTTTGTCGCGCTTGGATTTGCCTAGCACTTTTCTCAAGTAAACAGCCCGTTCAGATCTGGCCTCGAATAATTTTTAGCATCCGTTCATCGGGCCTTTGTGGCCACCTTTTTGTCCCACACCCTTGCCCTGAGAAGCCAAGCCAAAAGCAATAGTTCTGCAAAGAGCGCAGAACTATAAACAGCTGGATGTGATTCACTACACTCAGTCCTTCGGGTCCTTCTTGCTTTTCCCTTTGCCTTTTCCTGCGTCCTTTTCTGTGGCTGTTTCTGTGGATGCCTTCAATTCCGTCGGCTCACCTGCGAGTGTACATGTTGCAAGCCTTTGTGCTCAAAAACGAGATTCCAAGGCCTTCATCGGGATGTTGCTGGTCAACTTGCACCTGAGTGCCCCGCTCAACAAATATGTCAAAGAAAACAAAAATACCGTTTCTTTGTCCTGCGGAAAGCTTGCTGAGCAGTTCTGAGGCAAACTCTGAAGGGGCCCAGTTGTCCTTGAAGAAGAAACACAACTTTGTAAACTTGCAAAACATTAAGATTCTAAGATGTAGAATCGCATCTGTGTTTTGGCTAAACAGTGCCATGGAAGAGCACGTCCTTGGCACTTCGATTCTGAGGTTCCACCTACACCAAAATGCAAGCGGCGGTGCACGCCCAATAGTTTGCCAAAGAAAAACGCAGGCCGGACCCTCGCCAAGTAGCCATCTCCGCAGCTAGCAGCTGCCTGATGTGCAATCACATACTGAAGCAACTGCTTCACAAGCCAAACCATGCTGTGGAAGTGGTAACGCCTCCCACTCCCACTCACCGAATCAAGATCGCCAAAGACATCTATGTGGTCGACGTCATCTAGGTCTAGGGTCTAGGTATGTGTTATGATGAAGGCATTATACAGCTCAAGCGGGGCCATATCAATAACAGATTGTTTCGAGCTTCGGAAAGTACACCACACCATTTGCAGACGGTGCTCCCCAATCAGCCTCCGTGTTCTGATAAGCAACCCTAAAAGGCACATCTCATCAAAGGTAACTTCTGTGTCCTTCTACCGTATATATCTGGCCTGTATGTGCAAACGGTATGTGCACAACTACGACACAATCATACATCACAATCAACTATACACAGACAAGTTGTGTTGTGTGATAAATCTGAATTCTGAAGTACTGTGGCCAGGCCTTCAGCTTGCCATCTTCTTTTGCCTTCACAATATATGCAGCCAGGTCCTCAATCTAGGCATCGTCAGGGCGTAGGAACTTGAATAGTGTGCTCAAAGCTACAGTGCATGTGGAGGGGAAGGGAAAGATAGAGAGAGGAGAGAGAGAGAGAGAGACAGAGAGAGAGAGAGAGAGGAAGCAAAAAGAGACAAAAAGACAGCAGACAAGCAAGAGAATCCCACCAAAGGAAATTGCATGTGTAAAGCATGCCAAAAAAATCCCAACACTCAAGCTTTTTCATACCGCCTGGAAACACGTGAAGCAAACTGACTGAAACAGGAGCATTGTATTTATCTATTGCTTCAAATGCAACAGGCAAGCAGAGTGTTGGCACCACAATGTATGGCTTCACAGCAATGTAGATCGAGTGAGCACGGAAGTCATTGTGCAAGTAGCAAGGTGTATCCTTGCATCGCTCTCAAAGTAGCATTCAGCATCCTTTGCTCCTAGTACTAAGGCCAGGAGCCCCTAGTAGCGTCCTTGCTCCTAGTAGCGATGCCAGGAGCCCCTAGTAGCGTCCTTGCTAGTAGCGATGCCCTTTGCTCCTAGTAGCGTCCTGGTAGGTTCTAAGGAAGATCTGGTGTATCCTGGCCACAAGGTCTTCGCTTGCAGCCTTGGCCGCTATCGCCGCTACGTGGCAATCTGATGGCTCAGGCAGCGCTTGATCTTCCTCCCGGCGCAGCTTGTGCCAATGTTCAACCAAGCACTAGATCTTTTGGAGGCCGAGTTGTTGTCTTCCCAGAAGAAGGTGTGCAGCTGGAGCCGATCTTGACATCATAACTTACCGGCTCATCAAGCCAATCTGTCGCAAGCCTGCAAGAATCACAAGAACTTCAGAAGCATACAGCATACAATTGGAAAAGTCCTACTTCACAAGAGCAAGAAGGAACATGCTCACAGAAACTTTGCATTACTGCTGCTAATTTTATCCGACCTGGAACCACTTCAGCGTCTGTCCAGCGGTCCCTTAAGCAGCCCAAGAACTCCTTGCCACTCTCTCGATCTCTTTGACTCTCTCTCTCTCTCTCTCTTCATCTTTCTCTCTCAGGTCAGGGGACTTGGGAGCGTTGTTTAAGCGGTTCCAGTGCTGGAGGCCACACGTATGATTCAATAATAGATACAATGTGACCAGAAAAGATAGGTACAATGTGACCAGCAAAGGTCAAATTAGAGCAGTACACAAATTTGCCAAATAAGACTAGGTCGAAGAATGATTGGATCACCCCGTAAAAGGAAAGCACTTGCTAGCTACGGTAAACTGAAGAGCAACTCCATCTTGTGATGGGTACAAACTAAGATTGTTCTCCTCACACAAAAACGAGAAGAAAAAACAATACATGACGTCCATTGTGCATCGAACAACTTTACCCATTTTAAGGGTTGGGACAAATGCACACAAGGTGCTGGAAGCGATTCTCGCTTGGATCGCAGCGTGACCCCGTCCTCCACAGTCACAGCCAGCTGCCATGGAAGTAAGACAGCCTGGAGTGATCTGGAGTGTCAGACCGCTCTGGCAAATTGTGACGATTCATGCAAATGGAGAAGCTCAGCCATTGGCTCTGAGCAGGCGCCTTTTGGAAAGCAAATCTGCTAGAGCTAGACGTCGACGCTCCATAAAGCCTGGTGGTCTCTGCCCCACAAAGAAAAGAACTAGCACAAATCGGTTCATGCAAGGTCGAACAAATCAAATTCTGCTTTAGAAGCAAGCGACGCCGCTGTACAAAGGCTTTCCAGCAGCGAAGGCCCTGCGGGGTAGGAACTAGTGAGAGCAAGAATATCTCAATCTAACTCCTGCTTGGAAAGTGATCAGAATAAACAAATAAACCCAGGTGGCACATGGCGCTGCTCTTGGCGTCGTTGGAGCTGTAGGCAAGCACAAACCTGGTGAAAGTCAAACTTAAGCTGCCTTGCGCAGCTTGGAAAGCTAGGCTGGGTAAGCCCTGTATGGTAACCTAATCTCTGAGGTCTATACTCTGCGCCACTCTAAAAACAGCACTGGTAGCTGTTTTTGACGTCTTTGATGATGAACTTCCTGCATAAGGGAGTTCTTTGAAGAGCTGAACATTCAGATTGGGTCCACGTCCAGCGCCTTCAACCACATAAGCCAGGCTGAAGTCAGGCATCCACGCTTCGCAACCTATGCAAGAAACAAATAAGGCAAACGCTATACAGTAAATGTAGCAGCTGCCGAGGATCTCAGCTCTATATGAAAACTGGTAACCTGTTTCCATCATGACTCATGTTTAGCATCTCACGGACCTGCGCAGCTCCGATTGATGCAGCCTGCAGGCGCTTTTGAAGATGCCTGTTTGGCAGTCGGGCTCATGTTTGTGCTGAGCAACTCTGTCACTTCAGGCGATTTGGATCTTTTTTGCCACAGCTGTTTAGGAAGCACAGAGTTTGGCTGGAAATGGTTTTTGGTTGGGCCTCAACTTTGTAAGGTACTTCCTCAGCAGATGCCGCGTCAGCACTTTGGCCAGTTGCCTGGAGGAACACCTCAAAGAAGCCAGCGGACAAGCTGCAAAGCCACATGTCTCTGCACACGTTTACCAACATGTTCTAAATCGTTTGCTCCCCATCTGTGGGACGACTGCGTACCAAGCTTAGTCAGGTCTTTAGAAAACTCCAGTTTAGTTTCCACCTCCTCCGGTGCAGCTGCTTGAAGGCGCGAAAGACCTATGTGAAAAATTGGAGGATCAGAATCAGCATAGAGACACTGGACAGCCTTTAAACAAAAAACTTACAATACCATTTGAACTGACACTTGCTGTACCACTACTTGTGTGAAATGTGCACGTAGCAACAGAGTCAATGTCCTGGAAATATACACTCATTCCACACAATTCAGTCATGACACTCGTAATCTGGACCGGCGTTGTTGCAGGATGGCAACTGTTTCGCACTGAGAGCAAATATGACAAGCATGTCGGAAATGTAAGAGAATATCAAGGATGTGCCGCAGCTTTACTCTTCGAAGAAGTGCATCAGCTTTGCAGAACTTTGCTAGCGCCAGCGACCTTCGAAATGCTAGAAAACCCAACTGCTCAATCCGCCTCTGCACTTGAACCTGCTTTGCAGAAGCCTGGCCAGATTGAACCTTCCTACTACGATGCAGCTGACACCAGGCAGTGAAGCATGATGGCAAACCCAGCAGTAATCTCCGTGTGATAAAAAGATCAGCTACCCCATCTGCCCATCGTTGCCATGCTACTTCATCTCTGACTTGTCTTCGAAGAGCTGCCCATTCGGCCCATGAGGAGAGCACTCTTCTTTGCGACTGCTTGTCAAAGAAGTTTATGGAAACAGCAGCACGCCAGAGACAAAAGGCGCCAGTATTGAGCTGAAAGCAACTGCGTGAGTGAGACTTCCGAAGATACTGAAAAACACTGATTTGCTTCCACCAAACCTGAAGTGCTCGTTTTCCAACTCTCAGAAGCTCTTTTACCTGATGGCTCTTCAATCGCTTTGCCTTCACAAGTTGGGCTTTCCAAATAGACCATGTGTGGCGAAGTCGCGTGATCTGAAGGAACGAAGAAGCAATGCCAAACTTGGTGTTTCGCTCCAATTGCGCATTGGATGCACCCATCCGCCATCTTTGCAGCATGAAGTGTGCAAGTCGTCTCAGAGCTCTCAACCATGTTTCAGCTGCGTGGGCTTTTTTGATCTGAAACTTGGCAGCAAAGTGCCATTGCCGCAGGATATCAGTCAATGCACAGTCATACAGCAGAAATTGAAGGCAGCGCTGCACTGAAGGCTGGCTTTCGAGCCCTGCAAACTTCTTGTGAATTCTGTACAGCAAACTCCATGCTCGCAAGGTCTCACGTGAAAGATATCGTTTGTATCCACACAAAGCTGCGCGCTGTGTTTGGCGTCGTCGCACGTTCAACTTCAAAAATAGAAGAGCTTGTTGAGCTTGATGTTGAGCGAACTTCTGCATGATCGCACGTTCTCTCAAGTGAAAGGTTTGCAAGGATTTGAAAAAGGACAAAGTTCTCTGCAGCCCAAACACTCTGCGCCTGCACAACAGAGTTTGCTGCCTGCTACGCGTCTTTTTCAAGGCAAGCAACTGATCTTTCCAATGTCCAAAACTTCTGCACAGACGATGAGCTATTAATCGGTTCGCCTTACTCTTGCAGTAATGCCTCCATTCTTTTTTTGTTCTCACAATCCACAAGAAAGATCGAAACACTTGGAGCAGCAAGGAGACCTTATGCTTCTTGATAATGAACCGAGATATTCTACTGGCCAGACGCCACTCCGACAAAACAACTTGAGCAACCTCTACAGTCCATCTAAACATGCGCACCCTGAATAAGCAGGCTGACCTGATGTGTAGCATGCGCAAACGTACGTAGCACTCCTTTTGGTGCTCCTGGTGCTGCAGTAGCTTGCGAATATCTTGGCTGGTTTTTTTCCATGCGCGAAGTAGGGAACGCACACGAAGACCCAAGACAAAGCGATGTGCTCTTCGAAGTTGCTGAGCTCGTCCGATACTTAAATGCCGCCAAGCTCTCAGGCAAGCCTTCAAGGTTCTCTGGACTAGCCGAGTGTTCCCGGAGGGAACCAATTTGTGCTGAAGGCAAAGCTCATTTCGAAAGGTTGGGCACTTCAATGAGTCTGAATCTCTATCTATCTCGGATGCGCCCATATTTCACGACGTGGAAACTTGAGCCAATGCCACAGGACAATATGACAACAAAAAAGCTCAGCGGACGCTCATGTTCTGAGCCTTAAAACCTTAAAGCGAATATTCTAAATCCTGAATCCATAGGTGCAGTGGTGCAGTCCTCTTCCGTCAGGTTGTCCTCGATGGATTCCACGACCCTCTTGGCAGTTCTCAAATCATTTGGCACCTCCTTGTCCTGCATCTTACAGCAAAATGATTGCTGCGACACTGATTGATGAATGCAAAAATCTCCACTAATGCGGCTTTTCCTGCTTTGGCTCCGAAAATCTAGCGAATGTCACTACTCAGTGCGGGAAGTGCATACTGGCTTTGCCAAGAAAATGCACATTGAATCTCGCTCGGTGATCGGCACATTTCTTGCCGCTTCTTCGAGCACTTATCACATCTTATCAGCCAGTCAAGCTCTGCAGGTCACGCCCATGCCCGTGCCATCTTGGACTCAACTTTGGAGCGTGAGCACAAAAGGTGAAGGAAACTGCGGGAATTGAAGCTACAACTGCCAAAATAAGTTTCTTAGTAAGGGAAACATTATGAAACATGTCTTGCAGTTTTGCACATGTCCTGCTCCATTCCCAACATTCTTAAGTTCACTCTTTTGGACTGGCCACTATACTGAGGACTAGTGACCCAGGACTTGTCGGAGGTAGGCGAAAAACAAAGTGAAACCCAAGTCATCAGGAAAAAACGTCAAAATTACATAGGTGTTCAAGTCCTATGTCATCAGGCGCCGCTCTACAAATACTGGCCAAAAACATCCTTTCTTGGCATGTCTTATTTTTTTCATGCTGGTGTTGTGGGTGCTTGGCACCTCTCCAACTCCTATGTCATTAGTGTTGCACTCTGGGTAGTATCCCTCTGTTTTGCTGTGGTTTGTGCGGTGACATGGGAGTTGCTGGGGGATACTCCTGACTCACTAGTACCCACTACTCCTATGTCATTTGCGCTCAGTATAGTTGTAGTGTGGGGGGTAGTAGTTTCCATTGTAGTTCCCAGGCTGGACATAGGTCGGGCGCTGACTGTACCCTGGCTGGTAGGGTCCCTGATAGGGCGCAGCTTGGGCTGGAGTTGCTGGCGTAGAATAAGCAATCCTTATTTGATTCAGGATGCTTCACATCAAACCGGTCGAGAGATACTCAACAAGAAGCGCAAGGCAACATCAAACAATCTATGACAACCGCAACAAGTATAGCCCAGCACATGTTGGCACAACCGTGTAGAATGCATGCAAGTGTCATAAAAGTGACCGCTTGCGCAGCAAATGCTAGAAATAGCAGGCCCAGAATCAGCTGAAAGCACAACATATTATGTGAAGTTATACATCGCCCAAAGAAGCTGCAGTGGTGGTCAAAGCCTGTCAAGCCGGACAAATTCGTGTCTGTTTTGCCACAGAATAGTTCAAAGGTTGCCAATTGGTTCTATCAATGTTCTAATTAAAGTAACTGGCACACCAATGACAGTACTTAAAACTCGTAACATGTCCGTCTCCTGTTACACAGCGCTGGCAAATCCTGCAATGATGAGATCCCTTTGGTCGCCAAACAAAGCACCGCGTACCTGAGATTGAAGAGATATGAAGCAGATTCTGCTGCGCTGTTCCTTCTGTTCTTTGTATGATGCATGAATGCACATGTGTTGACATGGACGTCCAAGCTGCAGTAAGACTGGCCGTCCAAGCCATCGATGTTGGAGGACAATTGATCATTTTTGATCCTTCCCCAAACTATATCCCTTGCGCGATCCGGAACCGGATAACTGGTCTGTGTGGATCGTGCGATCTCTCCAGTTGGGCCAAGCAAAATGTACGCCAATGCCAACACCTTAAAGGAATTTGACAAACTTACAGCTACTGTGCAATCCAGCTTACAATACATGTATACAATCAGAACCTGGCATCAACTCATTCACAACTAAGCCCTGAACTGCCAAGACAGCAGCAAAACCCATGCCGGGCACAATGAAGGTGGACACTATTGGAAAAGAGCCACCAATGGTCAAAGGAACACCAACACCATCGAGTATGAATAGAAAGACCACCACACAGGATATCCTGGTGCAGGACAACTCGAAGACATTAAAGATTCACAGGAAACTTGGCAAGTGCAAAGTCACTTGTTGATCAAGTGCAATGGCAGTCATTGACTCGCAAATCTGATGGTCCAAGTCTCAAAGGTCCAAGGTAGAAATTGGATGCTCGCTCCAAGAAAGGAGGAAACAAATCGGGTGGAAACTCCTCCAAGTTCCAACGGTTACAGGTCATGGTTCGACTGGAAATCCCTTCTTACTGCCAATGTCTCAAAAGGCTGTGACCTACAACACCATAACCAGTTTGCCTCAACAACCGGTTTACCTAACCTGGTAAGCTCCACTTCACAAAGAAAACTTAATTTCAATGCTTGTGACACATGGACTGGATACACTTCGGCACACATCAAGGCTCCTTCTCCGACCACTTTGTGGACACAGGGCTGACTGGCTCAAATCGCATCAAGGGCGCACCCTCCCACATGGCGCACAAGGGGAGTCAGCGGTCTTGATCCTGAATGCCTTTCAAAGAAGATCATGATATATTTGTATGTTTCCTTTATACACATACAGCACATACATATATATATATACACATTACAGTATATAGATATACATTAATATATGTTTAAGAGAATGTCAAGTTGCAAGAAGATGCAAAAGGTTCAAATGAGAGTACACTCTCCTGAAAGCAGTACATGAGAACTTTGCATCTATCATGGTGATTGACTCTCTACTCATTAGCGCTCGTGGTAATTAAGACAGCATGCTATGTCGTAGAATATGTGAAGTCTGACAAAGTGACCACGAATGTATGATTTGCAGTCCTTTGCTGCTCCCTTGCTGTGATTTGATAGAGCTCGCTCGAGATTTGTGCAGTCCTCACGCAGTCGCTCCAAGACCCAGCCACCATCCTCCCAAGCTCCATTCATGGTAAACCTGAAGCTGGGTATCAAAGTACAAAAATGTGCGAGTGCTTTGGCTTTGCAAGAGTCTTTAAGCAAGGCCCCAGACTGAGGTCCATACCTAAATGCATCGGTTGGCGTAAACGTCTTCGCAGAAGGATTCCACTTGCATTCTCCGATTTTTCCATCAAATTGTTTGGGATCCTGGAGTACTGGAAAGTGTCAAGGCTGAATATGTTCAAAGGAGGACGCCAAAAAGGTCAATCAGATCCTTTTTGAGCACTTTGAAGACCTCACCAGTCTTGGCAAGCCAATGACCACAGAATTTGACCTCCAAGCACTTCTGATCTCCATGCTTTAATGAATTGCAAAGCAATTATTGTCATGCATGCAAGACTTCAACCCCGATATCAGTGGTTCTAGGACCTGTTCAAGTGCCTTGCCACGCAGCCGCACCTGCCATTGGTCCTTGCCCTTGAACCCCACCAAAAGCTTGACCTCAGTCTGGAGGGAGGATCAAACACCTAACATGAACCCATGCGAAAGACTGATGAGTCTCTGGCATGCATCTTCTTGCCATCCCCGAGTACCACCTGAGGTACAGAACCGATATCGGGTCCATTGCCCATTGGAAAACCCTGCCTCCAGTTTGAAGTCCACTGTGTTCATGTCAGCTGGTTTCCACTTCAACAGAGCCGGACAAGTCCCTGGTGCATAGGGCACCATAACCTGTCAAAGCCATCAGATTCTTGGAAAAAGGTCAACTCAACAGTTTTGAGGCGCTATTTTGTTACAATGCCGTGAGGTTGTGGCCAAACTTCATATTTCCAGAAAACACTTGTCTGGAAAAGTTTGACAGCAGCCATTGATGCTTAGTGGGCACCTGAAGCTGAAGGTGACACAATACAGACTGGGAAGCACACTGGAGTGAAAACAAGGCCATCTGTTCCATGTGGGAGTTCAGCAGCTGGACAGAAATTACAGAAATTAAATCAGTAAAGTGTGTAAACGGAGTCAAATGCTTCAGATGTAAGGAGGCGGCCAATAGCCACCACCTCTTTAATCTGCCAGAGTTCAAAGAAGTCCTAGTGGCGACCGCAACTGAAGCTAAGAAAAGGCCAAAACAAATGGACTTGTTAGGCAATGCTGGAAAAAGACAAAAGAGCCCAGTCCTTCAACATCAACTGAAGAGGGTCTTTCCGACCGAGGCTCAAGAGTTGTTCCTTGGGCAAAATTTGGAGTCGCAAACCGCAAGGCCAACTGAAGATAAAAGAAACCTCATAGCAATGGCCTCCAACCTAAGAGCGATGGCCTCCACCTACTACTAGCGATGGCCTCCAACCTAAGAGCGATGACCTCCACCTACTAGCGATGGCCTCCATCCTACTCTGTTGCGCGTAGCATATCGAAACAGCGTATCACAATTGAGAACTCCTCTAGTCCTGGCCTTCGGCAAGATCACGTCAAACAACGCTTTCTTCAATCTATGTAAAAGGGTCCGATGGGTCAAGTCCTGCGAATGCAAGCAAACTGGCACTGGCAGTACTGGTTACTAATAGTTACTTACTTATTGTTTCTAATAGCTTCTTGTTACTACTATATAGTAAGGCACTTGTTACTAGTAGCGATGCACTGGTTCCTAGTAGCTTAAATTGACACATAATGCCAGAAAATCCTCATCAAAAATATGCATCGCGTCATACACCAAGTAGCGGAGGCATGTCTGAGATCCCTGACACAGCGGTATCGTAAATATGAACTTCAGCGACGTTGTGCTTGTCAAATGTGCTAGTTGTAGTTTAAAAACCAAAGATATACATATAGATAGATAGATAGATAGATAGATAAATAGATAGATAGATAGATAGATATTATAGATAGATGATATAGATAGATAATATAGATAGATAGTATAGATAGATAGTATACGTATTGCTTTGAGAGATGCATGGGTCCTCCCCAGAGCACTGCTTGAAGGAAAGAGTGAAGAGCTCCTTCAGGAGATAGGCCAGCATGCGGACCACCTTGGGTGGATGTCCCACGGTTTGTACGGCCATCTTCCAAGCTTAGAAGGGCTGCAGCATGGATTTGGATAGTGGGCAACAGGCTGTGGCCCACTGAATGCGGCCCATGGCTTTCTCGATAGCCTTGGCAGACATAGCCACCCCGTTGATCAAGTTCTCCAAGACAGCCGCGACCTTGATGCGCTTGGGGGCTGCCATTTCAACTCGTGGGATTGAGGGGTGGATCACAAAGCCCAACCAGGGGTGTTCCCAGCGCGTGGCGAAGGCCGTTCCCGTAGCGAGGCGGAGCAACCAGCAGAAGTCGTCGACAAACACAAATCCCCAGCGGTGACCCCGTGCTCAGAACCTGAGCCAATCTGGTCGCCCGCCTCGTAGGCCAGGTGCGTGATGAGGTCCAACTAGAGGCTGTCCATCTGCGATGGTGTGATTGGTTGTAAGATCTGTCGAACATCTTTTCCCCAACAGGAGATCGACCACCGTGTCTGGAAGGGGTTGGGTGCCCAGCCGGGCTTTTTGGAGACTGGGCGTGATCCAGGGGCTAAGCGTCCAAGGGATGGTTCCCCGCCCCCATCTCGTAGAGGCCGGGTTTTGAAGGCCACTTGGAGTCTCATCAGGGACTCGTGTCGTGGATACATAAGTCTTCCGAAATGGGGTCAAAGGTTGGGCAGTCCGTGTGACCGCAACTCTGGCCCCACGGACCTGGTGCGCGGGGTTTTTCTGAGAGGCAGCCGCACGCGGGGACGCAGGGTAAGTCCAGCGATGGCTTTGGCGGCCTTGGTGGCGCAGCCAAAGACAGAAGCCCTCGGTGGTGAGGAGGTGGATCCGGCGCTGTTTGTCTTTGCCTCGGGTTCGAGCAGATCACCTGGTATGGGGAGTTTTCCTTCTCTTGGAGTTCCGGAGGTGGTGGATCATCATCTCCGTGTTCCAGGTAGTGGCCAAGGCTTTCCACCACTTGCCACGACTCCTCCGATTGGGGTGACTTTGTCTGGCTCCGAGGGAGGTTTTCCTGAGGGTGGGGTCCATCATGCCCTTCTTGGTGGGCTTGGGTGAAGAGAAGTGTGCCCCGCCGTCAACCTCCACCAGCTCGGCCTCAGGGAGTTGACCTTATCTGCCACCTTGGTCCAAATCGATGTGACCACATTGCGCTTCTCCCTCGTGTACATCTGCTGTGGACTCCGTCATCCAGTTCCCGAGGTATTGGCGCTCCGAGCGGGGGTCGAACCCCCGACTGAAAGACGCAGTCGGGGATGAAGACCCGGAAAGAATGCCAAGTCAAAGGGGTGACATGCTCGTGGGGGACACCCCGGCGCCGAAGGGCATCCTTCAGCCACCGGAGTGCCCGGTCCGCCGGGCAGGAGGTAGTCCATGTCCTGGAACACCTTGAGCGCCACAAGTCGACGGACTGTGGCCACAAATTGCAGGTGCCAGGGGGCCCCCGAGAAGCCATACTTCGGGCATATCAGGGGCGTGCGTGCCGCCCGTGCCACCTTAGTCTGCCAGGCCTGGAGCTCAATTGTGTTGGAGGTGGTGGTCATCTCTTGCGGGTGTACATGCTGAAGATCATCGAATCGGGCACTGCAGCCCACCTGAAATCGGGCAAAGCCCAGAATGAATGCATCTAGGAGCTCGCGCCAAAAAGCGGATCGGCATAGGCACTGAAGCGCTGTCTGCCGTCTTTGGTCTGGTGAAGCCAGGGACGGTCTTTGCCTTGGTCTCAGGCAGCCGCCAGGAGGCGGCCCCTTGGCCGGTCTTGGAGGCTCCGGAACTTGGCTCTGGCCGGCGGTGTCATCAGGCCCGGGCGTCTAGCGGGGGGGAAAACCTAAGCCCGGGCGCTCACTGGCCTCATCGTCCGTTGCAGGTGAGGCCGCCGGTGGTTGTTGGGGTTCTGCAGAAATGGGCCATTCCATGGAGTTCAGCCACATCTAGCATATAGGGGCAGTCTCTGCCTTGGCCACAGACGCGTCAGCCGCTGAGGAGGGTCGAGGCCCCCCGGCAGCTGGGCAGGGGCACCAGGAACCGAGGGGGCCTCTCCAGCTGCAGTGTCCGGCATTGGGACATCCGTGCCCTTGTTGGCGTCCTCGATGTTTTGGAATTGCACTCTGAGGTCATCCATGTGCCGGGTGAGGTCCCGGATTTGCGCTTGCATGTCGAGGTCCTCCACAATGACCGGTTTGCCAAAAAGGGAATTGCCAGCAGCCGCCTCGTCTTCAGCATGGCGGAGTGCTGTGGATGCAACGTCCGCTTCCTGGTTGAGTCGATCCATGTCAGGGCTACTGACTGTAGCCGCGTCCTCAGCCCCGTCGGCTGGTTGAGCGTCGGTGAAAGTTTCGAGCATCACGTACTCGGACTCCAAAGGAAGCGCCATTGCGATGCGCGTCAAGAACGAAAAACCTAAGGATAACGAGTTTCACAAAATCACCGTTGGCAACTCAAACGAGGTTGCCACCCAACTTGAGCCAAAATGTCCCGGTGGGACATTTTAGTGAATTTTCGTGAACATAAAA